AGTATTTTCTTCCATTAGGATCAAATAATGCAATCTCAGGGGGACCACTGGTCTGCCATGTGACTAGAAAGGTAGTGTCATTGCCCACACTGTTATCCAGGGTCACAGTGTTTTTCAGTTGATGGTGAGGTTTAACATTTTCACCTGCACTTTCAAGCTATTCAAGAAAATACACATATATGTGAAAGTTTCTAGTGTAGGCATAAACATTCCATCTTTTTCTTTACTTCTGGACAAACAAAAATAAATGGGCAAAAATAAAAATAATTTAGTTCTGACATGTACTATATTTAGATAAATAACTTTTCATACAAATACCTCACCAAAGCAAAATATTGTATATTATAGGAGTACAGAAGATATAAAATAGTCTATTATGGTTAATACAAGTGTCATTCATTATTTTTTACAGAGAGATTTTAGCTGTTCTCATACTAATTCTCATCCAAATCAATAGTAGCCTCGAATCAGCAATTATAATAACAAGCTTTTAAAAAAATTTTGTTTGTGAATGTGCTTAAGCGGTTTAATTTATATGTTATCTCTCGAGATACTTTTATGGGCATGGAGCCTAGTGCGAGACTTGAACTTACGACCCTGAGATCAAGACCTGAGCTGAGATCAAGAGTCAACTCTTAAATGACTGAGCCACCCAGGCACCCCTACTTTTATATATTTTAATAAGAAATAGAACATTGAGTTTCAGGGGGTTTGGGTACATTAAAATAATTATTTAGCCATTCACAATAAGCCACGTGCACGTGTGTGTGTGTGTGTGTGCATACAATACATACAGAGTGCAAACAGATGACGGCACTGTGCTAAATGCTTTACATATATTATCTCACTTAATCCTTATGAAAACCCTCTGAAGTGAGTACTGTTGTTATCCACATTCACAGTTGAGAAGACTGCGGCTTAGAGAAATCATTTGTCTAGTTGTCACATGGCAAGGAGCTGAAACTGGGATAGAGCCCACGCAGGCTGACATCAGAGCCCCTACATTTAATCACTATGTAGTCACTACAGACACAAGTCAATAAATAACTTCAAAAATTTTATTTATTAAATAAACACACTGTGTAACGCTCTATAATATTGCTCAAACTTGGGAAGCATATAAAATTTTTGGTAGATGACAGCAAAAACACTGTGGATTATTTGTTCAAGTCCATTTTACAAGTGTTTGTGGTCTGCTGACTACTGGGGCACATTCTGTGCTGGGCCTGCACTGTTGAAGGGGATTTAGATGTAGTTTCTGCCCACAGTCTAGCGGGGCTAATGACATACAACTGGGGAGAGGTGGCCAAGTTTGGGAACATGAGGCTAATTTGAGTCATATGAATAATATTTTGTTAAATTTTTAAAAAAACTTTTTTGAACTTTTGTTTTTATTTCACATTATTAAAGAAGAAATCACATGGTAGATAATTTGGAAGAGCCCAGTGTAATCTAATTTATAATATATGTTCTCATTTATGGTTCACCTTTTTTCACTTCTAATGATGGAATTGTGGTATTGCCTTACTGTGTACATATAATACATATATATAATCTTCATGTTAAATATTTCCTAAGAATAATTTAACTGCCTTCATTGTTCATATCAAGTCATTAACTTGGCAGGTTCACTTACCATCTGTAAGGAAACATCAGATAAAATTTTGTCCAAACCCTCAGTTATGTTCAAAATATCTTTAACGTACTTAGAAAAAATTTGGCCTTTTGAAAATGGCTTAATCAATTAGAGGAAGCCTTTGTGAGCAAAGTCAAGTAAATTGCAGTAGTCAACGAGATATTTAAAATTTTTTAGAATTTAATGAAATAGTTGATACTGTTAATATGAGGGAGGAGCTTCAAAGAAGTTTTTAAAGAAGCCAAAAAAGGATTATGACTGATGAAAAGTTATAGAACTAAAATAAAGACACGGTTTCTTACTTCTTGGCCTTACTTCCACCCCACCTCCACTCCCAGTTTGAGTTACTAGGAAGAAGCACACTCTGCTTCCAGACCTTAAAAGGCTGAGGTAGCAATTACAGGAAATTATTCCTAGGGTGGAGAAGAACAGACATCAGGTAAAAGTGAAGTGAAGTGAAAGTGAAGACCAAGAAGCTCATTAAAAGGGGCGCCTGGGTGGCTCAGTCGTTAAGCGTCTGCCTTTGGCTCGGGTCATGATCCCAGGGTCCTGGGATTGAGCCCCGCATCAGGCTCCAGCCCCGCATCAGGCTCCAGCCCCGCATCAGGCTCCAGCCCCGCATCAGGCTCCAGCCCCGCATCAGGCTCCAGGCCCGCATCGGGCTCCCTGCTCGGAGGGAAGCCTGCTTCTCCCTCTCCCACTTCCCCTGCTTGTGTTCCCTCTCTCGCTGTCTCTCTGTCAAATAAATAAATAAAATCTTAAAAAAAAAAAAAAAGAGAAGCTCATTAAAAGCCTTCTGTGCAAGAATTATTCCAT